GGCAGAATTGGGGTCCTGGTAGTTGGGGGGAGGAAGCGTTTAAGAACTAGAGGAAGGTTGTGGGTTTCATTTAAATAGTGTTTTACCGAAATGTATTGTGCTTCTTTGGTTTGCTTTGGGTTACTTATGTTTACCCATTACTAATAATGGAAACATTAATGAGTTTCACTTAAATAAAAATCAATCTTGATAAATTAAGCAAAGTACTTTGGGATCATCCTGTGATCCTTTGAAATTATAGAATGGTACTCATCAGACAGGTGGCATACAGGAGACAGTTGATTTATACATCAACTTAAGGAACCTGTGCTTGCATTGAGTGGTAGTTTAAGAAAATTACATGCCCGTACCCATATTTAAAAATAAATCAATCTTGCCTTTTTTTGGGGGGAATATTTAAAAATATTTATATTCTATAATGATATTTTTAGAATGAACTGTATCATCTGAAATGATGATATATTGACCAAAATAATTTCCAGGTTTTAAAGTTTTAGATATTTTTCTATGCCTGTGTATACAAATAATACATATTCTTAAAGATTGGTTAATGCAACATGTTTATTTTTCAGTTTACATTTTCTAAGTGACATTTTGTTGTTATTTTCCGCTCATGCATGGGATGCCAGTTAAACATAGAACATAATTGGTGCAGTGGTTATCTGGTGTGAATTTTCTAATGCCCTACTAATTATGTTAAAAGTTAAAAAAATGTATCAGATTTTATTTAATAGTAAAATATATTTGTTTAGGAATATTTCTTTAGACCTCTATTTTTGCCTACCGTTTGGGTATTTGATAAATGCCCATTTTATTGAATTTTTAACTCATTTAAATGCTGATTTTATTTATATTTCAGTCTGATTCGGTAGTTTTGACATCACAATCTAGGCAGAGAACTTGTAGGCGTAAATATCCAAATTACGGAAGAAGAAATCTTGAACAGCTGGAGTCCTCTTCTGGAAATGAATCTTCAAGCTCTGCAAGATGTGTAAGTTATGTAACATTGAGATAGTTAATCTTAAATGAATGTGTCGTAATTCTTACTTTGAATCTAAATTCAAATTATGTGAAATTAAAGTATTCTACAGCAATAAAGATGACATTTCGTGACAATTTTTAAAAATATAATTTATATAATTACATATAGAAGGCTCTAATTGTAATATATAACATAATAATTTCAATGTATTTACAGACTTGCTCAGTTACCACCATAATCTAATTTCAGAATATCTTCATCACCTTCAAAAGAGACCCCATTCCCATTAGCATTAACTTCCTCTTGACCCCTTCCTCCACTCAACCTTGGCAACTTTTACCCTACTTTCTAGAGTTTGCTTGTTCTAAACATTTCTTATAACTGGAATCATACAATCTGATTTTTTTGTGTTTGGCTTTTCACTTAGTGTTTTCAGAAGTTCATCCATGTTTTGGAATATATATTAGCACTTTATTTTTATTGCCAATAGTATTTTATTTTATTACTGAAGTAATTGTATTCCGTTTTGTTTAAGTCTTTTGGGCTGTTTATACTTTTGTGTTACTATGAATAGTGCTCCTACAAGTTAAAGGTTTTCAGGTGGATGTGTTTTTATTTCTCTAGGAGTGGAATTTCTGGGTCATATGATAACTGTTGTGTTCAACTGTTAAGGAATTCCAAGCTGTTTTCCCAAGTGACTGCATCGTTATATATTTCTACTTGTAGTGTACACGCTCTAATTTCTATACATCATCCTAAAAGTTTGTGTCTGTTTTATTATGGCCGCTCTAGTGTGTGAGATGTGGTGTTGGATTGAGACCTTGGGCTGAGCATCTTTTTATGTGCTTACTGTGTATTTGTATATTTTATGGAGAAATATATATTAAAATTTTCCCATTTTTAATGGGGTTGCTTTTTTATTAAGCCGAAACGGTTCTTTTAATATTTTCAATATATAATGTTTATCATAGTATTTCTTTACCAGGTACATTTGTCAGATATATTTCTTTAACAAACACATGATTTGACAGTATTCTCCCATTTTATTGGCTTTCTTCATGTTCTTCAATGGTGTCCTTTAAAAGTGCAATATTTAAGATTTTAATGAAATCACTTTTTCAGTGGTTTCTTAATTATTTGTGCTTTTGGGGTAACATATGAAGAGTCTTGACCTAACCCTTTTGTTTGACTTTCAGTAATTATTTTTTGTTTTTTTATGTGAAACCAAGTTTTTTTAAAAAGAATATTTAGAATTTAATATAGGATGTCAATATTTTTAAGTTTCACGAATATATTGAGGAGTAAAATGTTTCTTAATGAATCAACAGTTCACTTAATTCCTTTATAAAGGTATTAGCATTAAGACTAGGCTTTGATTGGGCAATTCTACTTTGTCCTATGACAGAGAGGTTGCTGGAAGGCCACTCATTGGTAGCCATTGGGCCCATTAAATCCTCCTGCCTCTTGTCCCCTCCCAACTGCCTGCCTCAGCCACCACCTTTAGTGGGTGTGCTGTGCAAGAATTTATAACCCCTTGAGGGCAATGTGAGTAATCCTGGATTTCCTGAATCCCCAGGTCAGTGCAGCCTCCAAGTGATGAAATGTCCAACAGCCTTGCCCCACGTTCTTTGAGCTTCCATTATACGTCAGCTCATTGCTGGGACAGGCCCACAAACAACACACCCATGAATTACTCTGCAGCAATCTAAAACAGACAAGTAAAAAGATAACTACTGAAGAAAAAAAAAGACTAGGCTTTGAGATTAAATTTAAATTCTTCCATTTTGTCAGATCGTTTACCCCTTAGCATCTCTGCCCATATATGTAAAACATAAGTAATAATAGTATGCCAGGGTGTTGAAAGAATGAATTTAGTTAATAATATGAAGTATCTAGAACAGTGCTTAGTACCCAGTAATAAGTAGCTGCTATTACTATCATCAAAACTTGTGTTCATCTCTCAATTTACATCTATTTTGCTTTATGAAATGAGACTTTTTATATTATACTAAAATGTATTGACTGTACTTAGCCCTTTATGATGTAGGGTTATTATAATAAGATTTATTAGCTCTTTAGAATAGCATGAAAAAGTGTTACCTGCCCTTTTCTCCAGTTTGTCTATTGTTTGGTAAGTTCAAGTTATCAGCAAAATAGTAATCATATAACTCATTGCTTTAAAGCCTACCTGTACCTGTGAGTTTGATAAACATTAAGCCCATCTGAGTCACTTGGTTGGGAGTTTTGTGAGGTGGGTAGGAAGCTGTTTAGTCATGAAAATATGCTTCTCAGATGGCTATAATAGCTCACAACTGCCAACTACTAATATTTCTGAGAGCTTAGCACTCATACTCTTTTTCATTAATGCCAAGTCTCATATCATTTCTTTACATCATTCACTAGGATATTTTCTTCTGGTATTTCAAATTGAGCAGTAAAATAGATTCACTGTACTTCCTAAACCCTTCCAAAACCAGTATATTTCTAGGACAAAAACTGTTTGCTATTTTTATGTGTTTCTAAACTTTAGTTAGCTTAAGCGTAAGTTTCAGATCCCTTTGCTTTCCACCTTGTGGTTGATGATTTAAAAAATTAAATAATTACTAGTAAAGAATTACAGACATTGAGCGGATTATACACTCATAAGTTAAAGTTCACATATGAATTATATATTTGAGATTATTTTGGTTGTTGAAAATATATGCAGAAACACAAATTCCGACAATTTCTATATGTACTGTACATCGACTGATAACACTGCCCCAATTCATCCTATTGTTGCTTTGTTGGAGTTACTGTGCATCTAGAATCCTCTCATCCATATAGTCCGTTTAAAGCACATTTTCATTACAAAGCTTTCATAACCTCCAAATACGATTGTTTGATTTATGATTTAGATACTTATGAGTATAATAGAAAAGATATGAAGCTTTTAGTATAAACCTGTTTTTGAATCTCGATTCAGCTATACCCTATCTCTGACTTGTATATGTCAGAGCTCTGGCTTGCCTGTCTCTGAAGAGGAGACCAAAGCAATTCTGACAGAATCTTTGTGAAAAATTGTTAAGAATTTATATGAAGTTTATTTGTAAAGTATTCATATTGTGTACATTATGCACACCATATTTTAACAAAAATTTTTATCATAATGCATCTCATCTTCGTAGCCCACTGTACTGCATTCCATTTTATAGAGGAGGAAAGTGAAACTCACAGGTTAAATCACTTTTCTAAAGAGTCCTGCAGGTAGGATATGCTGGAGACTGAATCATAACTTCAAGACCCAATATTGCCTAATATAACATTACTTCCTGTAAAGGCATGGCTACATATAATTTTTCTTTCATTTATTTTTTCTGACATCTTTGTGCTGCTCTTTTAAAATTTCCTTGTGCATGTATACTTCTGAGGGTTCTATATCTTTCAATAAATGATTTAAGAAATTGGGAGATTAAGTTGCGAGTAAAGAGTTCCAGACTTTGACTTTGGGAATATATTATACCCTCGTGAGTAAAACTTCATGTGTGAACACACATACACACGCACACACTTTTAATGATTTTTATTGTTGAGTATGTAGAGTACAGTGAACCCTTGCCACTTCGCACTTCGACTTCCGCGGCTTCACTCTATCGCGGTTTTTGCGTAACAGCGCATGCTCTGTCATTACTGCCACTGATTGGCTCAAAATGTTTTACTGTATTTTCCCTTTTTTGTTTAATAAATTGGGTAATACGAGTGTAATGGTGACTAAAGGGTGTTTTTTCATGTCCTCTATGCTCTATGAAAATATTTGATTTACAAATAAGGAATCCTACTTCGCGGAATTTCATTTATCACGGTAGGGTCTAGAACCGATTAACCGCGATAAACGAGGGTTCACTGTACACCAATTCAACAGTTTCTACATGTACAATTCAGTGACGTGATTAGATTATTCAAGTTCTGACACCCAACATATATACAAATGTGCTTGATATGATTGATGTATGGATTGTTATACGAGCTATAAGAGCCCCCAATAAAATGATTTCTTAATATTTTTTAAAAAGGAAAAAAAGTTCTGCCACCATTCTTACCCTCATTTTCCATGTTATTTTCTTGTTATCATAAACTCCATAATTATCTACTTAATTTTTGGGTTGGTGTTGTCATTTTGTTCTCATATACATAGATCTTATGAGAGTACAGTGTTCAAGCAGACATTCTTTACTGGGTTGTTAGGTGCCATCCAGTGATCTCCAACCTATGGTGACCCAATGCATGACGGAAAGAAACAAGTTAAATTATTTGAAACAAGTAAAACTACTTTAGTAGTTAAGCAAAAATATCACTTGTTCCTAAAAGGTGACGTCAGGAGATATTTTGGATTTAAGGTTTAGATGTGTCAGGGCAAGTTTCAAGTGTTTATCCAACCTTTGTGGCTCCTGAAATTCTTTTCTGCATTTTTATCCTCTTAATCAGAATTTTTCTTTTTTTAATCATTTTATTAGGGGTTCATACAACTCTTATCACAATCCATACATACATCAATTATGTAAAGCACATTTGTACATTCATTGCCCTCATCATTCTCAAAGTATTTGTTCTCCATGTAAGCCCCTGGAATCGGCTCATTTTGTCCTCACTCCCTCCCCACGCCCCCATCCCTCATGAACCCTTGATAATTTATAAATTATTATTTTGTCATGTCTTACACTTTCCGATGTCTCCTTTCACCCGCTTTTCTGTTGTCGATCCCCCAGGGAGGAGGTTATATATAGATCCTTGTAATCGGTTCCCCCTTTCCCCCCAACCCTATCTCCACCCTCCCAGTATCGCCACTTTCACCACTGGTCCTGAAGGGATCATTGGCCCTAGATTCCCTGTGTTTACAGTTTCTATCTGTACCAGTGTACATCCTCTGGTCTAGCTAGATTTGTAAGGTAGAATTGGGATCATGATAGTAGGGTGGGGGGGTGGGGGATGAAAGAAAGCATTTAAGAATTTAAGAACTAGAGAAAAATTGTATGTTTCATCTTTGCTACACTGTACCCTGACTGGCTTGTCTCCTCCCCGCGACCCTTCTGTAAGGGGATGTCCAGTTGCCTACAGATGGGTCTTGGGTCCCCAATCTGCACTCCCCCTCATTCACAATGATTTGATTTTTTGTTCT